TTATCAATGATTCTCTTCATCTTCCTGATTGAGAAAACTGGAAACGTTTTTCGGTTCGGTGAAGGGTCGTCTTCAACGCAGTCATCAACTATTGTCGATCTATCCTTCACTGCTTGCTCATTTACTGCTTTCACCAAAAAACTGTAACTATAAAAAGCTATGCTTAACCCGTGAAATACATCAGTTCTTTCTTCTCTTTCTAGACGCAAAGGTAATTCCAGATTCATTATGTAGTTTTTTATTTTTTTATTCTTTATCTGGGTCAGGCATAGCTTTGATCATGTTTTGATTATCAAAAGTATCGGGGTCTAGCGTTAATCATCTTTTGATTATCAAAACTTTCAGCCCTAATAGTTCGTTCAACGGAGACCAATTTGTTCATGTCTTCATTATCAAAATTATTCCCCATAAAATTTTTTTATCTTAAATCATGCCAGCTTGAAGGGATAAGCAATCTTGAATTTCCTTAGTGTTTGTGACTGTGGAGGTTTGTCTGGATATGCTACACCGCAAGGTCCAGCATATCTAAGCAGAAGTTTGAACCAAATAAGCATTTGAATAGGCTGAGCAAACCTGCTGTCAAGAGTATTTTTGTGAAATATATATATATATATATATATATATATATATATATATATATATAAATTATCTTCTTCTTTTTGAGTATTTTCTGCTTGGGCTGGTTTTGGCAAGTATCATAATCCGGTTTCTATTTCTTTTACCTTTTGATTTTTGATTTTATTTTTTTTCTAATTGAACAATACGTTATAATTGAGTCGATATTTTTTTTCTTTCTAAAAACGGTTTATCTAACGAAAGTTTTAAACTTTTGGATGTGATTAACAAACCATTGAAGGAGATGCAATTGCATGTGTTCCTATCACAAAACAACCAGCTTTTGACCATCCTTTACTCAAAGATCACAAGATTGAGGTACATAGATACAACATGTACTTAGATTTTATTTGGACATTCTGTTTTATGTTTTAAGTGTTGATGGTTAGTTTACTTGCGCTTCTTCTTTAGATGAAGCATAATTACCATCTTGAGAGACTCTTTGATAACAACAAAGTGTCTTTACGCCGTCAGAAATAGAAGGACATACATATCCTTTATTTATTGCAAGGATATGATAAATGTGCCGGAAGAACCATTCCCATGAGGAGGACAAAGGAAGATGGTGTCTTTAGAGAAAATTCATTCATTAGATATGGCAAGAAGAAGCATAGAACTTTCATGTTTCCTAAATCTGAGGAACCTGACCTCATGAACCAAAGTGGTCATCAGATGAGTCAAAGTTTTTCCTTTTTGTTGGTTTCTTGATCTGAGATGTGTTATTTGTTTTGGTTTGTTGAACTGTAGCATGCGATAGCTTATGTGGAAGGGGATAATTACTATGGAGGTAAAGCAACTATATATGTGTGGGAGCGAAAGATACATAAGCAACATGAGTTCACCTTCTCGTAAATATGAATTCTTAATGACTTATTCAGACTTTAACAACATAGAAGCTGGTTGGCAGGTACACTCAGTTAACTTCTAGGGAATGTGAATATGATTTTTGATTCTCATGTTATGTATAATGATTGATGTGTGCTTTATTACAGATTAACTGGATTTATATGGTGACAATAATACAAGACTCTTCACATATTGAACAGTACGTTCGTGAGACTATTGTATAATCAAATTCTTATGGTCATGTGCTTTGGTTCCATATAAGATAAGCCGTGTGTACCTGCCAACACCGTTTAACCAGCTCTATTACTAGACGGTTCATAGCGGATCTTTCAAGTCTTATTTCTCTACACAAACACATATTTATTGTCGGATATTGTTAGCTCTCCGTTTCTCACATGTGCAACTACGAAGTGTTTCTTAACCTCCTCATTGAAGTGTCATTACATATTATATACAGGCTCATCTCATATAATTTGCTTATTGATCCTCACAACAGAGGTCCAAGTTTTCATGTCTATTACTAGAATTATTAAGTCATCCCAAGGTTATTATACTCTTCTTCGTTCTTTATTCCTAAGCATAGTTTAATTGGTCAGCAATTAATTTAATTATAAATCCGATCTGTAAGTCCATAACCATAATTATATATAGATATATAACCAATGTAAAAAAACTTATATTACAAAAGAAAATCAAAAGTAATATAATCAATAATTACCTTGAATATTAAGTAATAATAATTGTTTTTAAAAAACCTTAATTATTTTGGATAATAGGGTTTGTTTGAAAATTTCAAAACTAAATATGTAAATCTTTAAATAGTAATGTGATAAGTTATCAAGTTGAATAGAAAATGATAGAGTTTACTTTTTGCATAATTTAGAACAATAGATTCCAAATAAAATGTGTAAAATTTATTCAAAGACATATCTATATTAGAGAAAAAAAAGATTTGTGTGTTGAAATCGTAACTGTATATTTTTATTTTATTTATTATTATAATAGATGCAAAACAAGTATTAAGAAATGTAAAATAATTACATGATTAAAATGAAAATATTTTTATTAGTTAGAAACCTATAATTTTAAATAAGAATAACAAAAACAAATGGTGATTGCATATTAAAATCACTTCCAGTTGAGAATAAATTAAATATTATTTTAGTTCTTCATTGTTTGGTTATGTTTTACTTCACTCTAACTTCCTCCAATAAATTATTTGATATGAATTGTTATGTTACTGTAGAAGCACTGTGGTCTAGTGGTCAAGAGATTAAGGGTTTTACATCCAAGTGTGAGTTTTGAACCCCAAACTATGCAATTTCTAGGTTTTAATTTTTGGAGAAGGCAAATTATGCGAAAAAATTAGAGAAAATGTTTACAAAAGATCTTCAGCGCAAGGAGTACCGTCAAAAATGGATCTCATAGGACAGCTTAGGATGATGCAGTTAGACGTGAATCCGTATAAGACATATAAAATTATCGGTTGTAATATCGTCTATGTAATGTTTCTCATAATTTGTAATAGCAAAGTACCCAGACAAAAAAAAGAATTGTTATGTTACTAAATTAAAAATATGCTATATAAGTATATTATTTTATTAATTATAAATACTATTTTAAAACAATAATTTAAAATAGCTTGAGAAAATACTCCTAACAAAAATTTTATTATTAAACATAGTTCAACAAAGCTTAAAATAAGTAACAAAGCATAACCAGTAAAACACTAAAATTTAATTAATATTTCATTCCAGAGATAATTATGATCTGAAACAAGTATATTCTAGAAACCTCATTTACCTGTTAAACTAAAAAACATTGATTATTAGTTATGATGTTATAAAACTATATATATATATATATAGTATTTTAAGATTTGAGATTAAATTATTTTTATTAAATTTTATTATATTTTAACTGATTTAACTTGGAGATAAACTATTTTATTATCATGAAAGAAATAAATTGTATAAATATTTTTTTAATTTGGATCTTCTTGAAATAAATATAGTATTATTTATTTAAACTTGAGATTTTCTTTATATCAAATTTATTTAGAGATGCTAAAAATAATATATATATATATATATATATAATTAAATTTTCTGAATTATTTTTTAAAAAAAATTTGTATTCTCTATAAAATTGAGAATAACAAAGACTATTAACATTTTGATTCAAAGCAAAAATATTTATTAAAAATAAAATATGTTCTCAGAATTCTTTTTCTTATTTGTTTGTTTTTTCTCTTTGGACTCATCAATATTTATTTGTTTATGATATTGTTTTCAATCTATAATATTTTAAATGTTTCATAAAATTAATATAAATTCCTAGAATATAATTTGATTATAATTGGGTGGGCCAACCCTAGTATACACATAAATGAAAAGATTTGTAATAATTTATTGCAAAATCATAATCCATAGTTTAATATAATACAATCAATGAATGTGAACTGTTAAAAATTACATTCATACAGAAGTGTTTCTAAACGCTATTTTAGTATAAAAAGCGTTTTGAGGGAAAATAAAATAAAAGTAACTTTCAGATCGATTAGTGAAACGTTCGTGGTTCGCAACGGACATTGACCACAAATATATGAAGTAGTATTATTGAATCTGGAAACATCTTATTTTCTTATCTTTATTAAATGCCTCGTCTATAATCGGTACAAGCAAAATCAACAAACCCTTAATGTAGCAGTTATGATTATTGAATATGCGTTTCTATTTCAATAATTTTCAAACCAGTTATGTTTTCACTTCCCATTAAAATAACAAACGTCATCATCTACATTTTTTGTCAATAGTCATCATCAACATATATACATGTATACAAATGAAACAAAAAAGTAAAGTATATAAAGTGATCCGAGATAATGCGTATGGAGTAAGAAGAGTTCAGGGTCTCAATCATTTTCACAAGCTAAATATATGGTCCAACTCAGGTTCCTCAGGGAACCAAAAAAGACTCGATCAAATATTGATTTTAAAATATTAAAAAACTAAATTTGTTTTTAAGAACAATAAAAGAGAGTAAATGCTAATTGATTAATACTAGCATAAACAAACAGAAAACCTGCTGGTTAGTCTCACACACGGAGTCAGCATTTACTCCGCCATCGATTTACTGTTTGACACGTGTTATCGGATGACTCTTCTCATCTGCATTTGACCAGAGGACATCAGTCAAAAGCCCGCGCTCTTGTATTTATTGATCAATGACTAAACTAAGCATTTTTTCAAATTAAATTTAAAACTGCTTACAAGTTCCATAGGTTACGATTTAATAATTAATGGACATTACGCATCTTAATATATTCCCCTTACATGCACATTGCTTATCCTATAATGATAAAGCTACTATTTATGTACATGCGGCAATAATATACGTACGCATTAACATATACTCTATCATATGGATTACGCATGCGTGCGTGCATATATACTACTATACACATACACACTTATATATATGTATGTGTAAATATAAATATAAAGGCATCGCCACGCTTCAAGTTAGTCTCTCCTTATTATTAGCCTCCCTCTCTAACTTTACCTTTTCTTCTTTCTTCTTTCTTCTTCCTGAAGAACCCTAAAATAATTTATTAATGGCGATATTTTTACCAGAGAGCTCTTCAAACTTGGATCTTACTATCTCCGTTCCAGGCTTCTCTTCCTCTCCTCCTTCGGGTAAGCCATACTTAATCTAACAAACTATATAAATAAAATGATGATCTTAAAGTAAAAGCTAGAGTTATATATGTATGGAGCTTGTGTAATTAGGATTCTATGTTTTCTGGTTGATGATATGATTTTTATTAACTGATTTTACAAGAAAAGTTCATAATTGAAACAAGATCTCATGTATGCCTTAGCTAACATAAAGATGATTAAAAAGACGATAATTATATTTTCTATGATTAAAAAGATGATAATTATATGTTCATCGTCTTACTTCTTTTTTTTATTACAATATATCGTTTGTTTGTCGTACTATAATGTTACGCACAAAATAAATTTCAGATGAAGGAAGTGGAGGAGGAAGGGAACAGCTAAAGCTAGACATGAATCGATTGCCGTCCTCTGAAGACGATGAAGAACTCAGCCACGGTGGCTCTGCTCCTCCGCGAAAGAAACTCCGTCTAACCAGAGAACAGTCTCGTCTTCTTGAAGATAGTTTCAGACAGAATCATACCCTTAATCCCGTAACTATTATTCCCTAATATCAATAGTTTTCTTGAACAATAATGGTTTTATACGTTTCTCTACCTTTTTTTTTGTATAATGCAGAAACAAAAGGAAGCACTTGCAAAGCATTTGATGCTACGGCCAAGACAAATTGAAGTTTGGTTCCAAAACCGTAGAGCAAGGTACGGTTTCTTTTTCATTTATTTTTCACCTTTTTACATCATTGGGGGATAAAAAATATCTGACTATAATAATGCTATACAATAAGCGAGTGGTCGATGATTAGTTTGAGATAGGAGTATTACATAAGCGTTAAACGTTGACGGAATATTAAATAAAGCAAACAAAAAAAAAAGCGAAATCTGAATCGGATTCGACCTACCCCGTTAACATACAAGTCGTACCCTAAAATAATAAAAAGGTATTGTTGTCTTTTTCATACACTTATATATCTCATTCCTCTATCAAATATTTATTTTATAATGCTTTCCTTCGAGGTCTTTCTTACGTTCTCGAAGAGTAGTTTGCATGAATCACCACTTGCTACATGTATAGAAGGAAATTTCATTTGACCTGAATTTATCAAGTCAAAACATTACAGAAAGAAATTAACAGCCATTCAATCAAACACACATATTAATAAAAAAATATCAAAATTGTGGAAGTAGTTATATATGTCACATCACGTATATATATGTTGTTGCAAGGTTATTTTCACAAAGTGACGACGGCATTTTGAAGCCGCCAGTAATGATATCCGATCCATTAACACGTTTTTTCGGTGTATTATGTAACTTGGAGTAAGATATGTTTTCAAACACTTTGGCTCGTGTACGTCAATATATACGTGTAGATATATAAGTACATATACCTACCTATAGATTCACGTGTCAAGGTCTCAACGTTTCACACACTAATCTTATGACATTTCTATTGGTAACGTATGGTTCTTTAATTTCTGAATGAATCTAATTTGTTCAGGTGATTAACATATTGGTATTAATCAATATGCAAATTGTCTGTCACTGTTAAAAAGGAAAACGTTACGCATTTAAATTTAAAATAAATTATTAAATTTAGATCTCTCAATAATTGTGAGCAGATGTGAAAGGTATCTATGGTGCAATAAATAAGAAGAGTTTCAATACTGGTGGTATAACTATTATGACGGTTTCCCAAAATATAACTATAATCATAGCCACACTCTTTTTACAATAACTATTTTATAGCCTATTTGTTCTTTCAATTTTTATCATTATTTGTTAATAAATCCAATAGGTCAATCAATGTGTTTTCTTCCTTCTGCCTCGTGTACTTACTTTCTCATCAATGCCCTTTGACTCATAACTCATTTGGCCCTTCATGCGTTTTTTTATTTCCATGACATTATTATATACTTTAAATATGCATCGTCGACAAGCATATTTGATCCTTGTTTTCAGTTTGATCTCTTTAAATAATTAACTCGTACCGTACTCTTTTTGGCTTTTGTTTGGTTTAGGAGCAAATTAAAGCAAACTGAGATGGAATGTGAGTATCTGAAAAGGTGGTTTGGCTCATTAACAGAGCAAAACCACATGCTCCATAGAGAAGTAGAAGAGCTTAGAGCCATGAAGGCGGGTCCATCCACCGCGACCTCCGCCTCGAGCCGCACTATGTGTCCTCGCTGCGAGCGAGTCACAACTGCAGCGAGTCCCTCCTTGGCGGCTCCAGCCAAGAAAACTCTTCCGCTGCAAGACCGTGAACATTGATTTACGTATTTTAATTATTATTACATATGGTTTAGAAGATTAACGAGGGTCAACCCATGCATTAGCCAAGGGATAACAATTATCACATGATTTCGTGTAAATAGTATTTAAGGGTTATATTCTATGCGCGCACAACAAATCCGTGTAAATATTTTTATTTTAATCAGAAAGCCAGTATCCTTATCCTTATTTTTGTTGGGCAATAATATAAATAGATATTTTTCAAAAAATCAATATTTTTAAACCCTCATCAGAACGTTTCTAAGAACAAAAAGAACCAAAATCCTTATGATTACATTAAACTAAAAACAATTATCAGTATATTAGGATAAACTGTAAATTTAACTTAGTTTATCGTAAAATATTAAATTCAACATATTGAAACTAAATCACATTTTTTGTCTTGCAACTAGAACTATTCTTATGTAGTTTATTAAAGAATAAATCTAACCTCCTATAGTTAGGTCGATTAAGGGATCTGGCCTATAGTATTAGGCCCATTTAGACTTTGTTGGGCTAAGTTGAAAAATGCACTTGTTCGAATATCTCTACAGTCTATAGGTGCATTAGTGCTCGAATTTATTTCACAAAAAGGTGAAACAGTAATATGACCCATAATATTTTGGGTCGTATATTTAATATCGAACTATAATATACCCTTAAAGTTAGTGGTTAGTGGCCTTAATACAATTTTATGGGCCAGCGGTGAAATTGGTCATCTAATGGTTGCGCAAAACACAGCAGGCCGTGTATACTTTGAAGTTTTACATTTCTTTTTTAACAAGTGTTACATATCTTAGCTAGACGAGTAACTCATGTGGCTGTGCCAAAATAGATTGTCAAAGTTTATGCATGTATGTAGCCATCAGGGTCGGTCAAGGCCAAGCCTGTTGAAACATTCGTAGGTCCACAAAAATTTTGAAAAATTTATATGTACAGAGATTTTCAAAAAAAAAATTCTAGACTCCCAAATTAATTAAAAAAAATTTTAGTTGATTTTTTTTTTAAAATCGTCTAGAATCCCAATATCTCAGAACCGACCCTGTAGACATTTAGACTCACTAGTTAAGGGCAAAATTTTCAAAGTCTCTTCTCAAGGAAAAAAACATAAACTTAGCTCTGGAAATCCACATGCAAATGGAAATCTCACGTACATAGTATTCGATTCAAATACAAATTTTATTAACCATATGCTAAAATCCAGTTTAAGTAAAGACATTATCAAACATGTCTTTTATATTCATAGATGAGTGGTTTTATATATAAATATTTTGTTTACATTTCTGTATACAATGATCACATTATTAATTTTATCGATGCAAAACATATTTGTTAACCTCATAAAATCCGATCATAAACAAGATACGTCTTCAACTTCTAAGACAAATTATAACCTGGCATTTTTAGAAATTTTTGTTAGATACTCAAGAATTAAAACATACTAGATCTCGACCCGCACAACCGTGCAGGTATTCTAATACGAAAATATTTGAAATTATATAATATTTCTTCCGTTTCAAATTAGATGATGTCTTAAAAGATTTATTTTGTTTCAAAATATAAGATGTTTTGAAAATTTAAGGTATATTTTGAGGTTTTAAGGTTACTTTTAACTTTATTAGAAATTATTCAACCAATAAAATTATACTGTTTGTTTAATAAGTAGTTGAATGATTTTAAAATTATATCTTAAAAAATACTTTTGTAAAAGAATGTAAATTTCTTAATCTTTGTGCAATGATCCAAAAAATCATATATTAAGAAACAAAGGGAGTAAAATTTACTCAATAAATAAATATAATTTGATTATGTATATTATTCAATTTTATAATAACATTTATGTGGCTTATAATATTATTAATATACAATTTATAAAATTGTATTTTGTAACAATTTTTTAAAACATTATTATGTAACATTACTAATTTATATATTTTGTATTATTTCTGAAGTTGAAATATATGTAAAAAGTAAATTAAGTTGGACCTACATAATACATAAAGAAAATTTTGGGATATTGTTAAAAGTAATTTACATAATTTAATTTTTTTGTTTATAAATAAAAAAATGAATTAAAATTTTAACTATATTTTCTGGTAGTTAAATTTTTTATCAAATAATTTTTGAAACTATATCCTGAAAAGATTCTAAAAGATTTTAAAAGATTTTGTTAAAATTTTCTTAAAACTATTTATTTGTATTTAATAAGAATTAAAAAAATGAAGAGATATTATAATGATGTTATGTAAACTTTTATAAAATTTCTAAGGATGGTCCAAACTAAAAAGTAACACATGAAGTGAGTCATGACTTCTCTTTTAATATAATAGATACTAGATTTTGACCCGCGCTTGAAAAGCGCGGATATTTTTTATAATTAAAAATTTATATAACTAGGTTTTGTCTTAATTTAAAGAATATTTGGGTATAAAATTAGTTTACCAAAATTTGTGGTGATAGTTGTTTTTCATTAGTTTTTAGTTTCAGTTTTTATTTTTAGATTTTGTTTTAAATTTTTTTTTAAATTTTGGTTTTTAGTTTTTAAGTTTCTATTTTTGATTTTCAGCTATTGGTTTGGGTTTTTAATTTTTAGACCTGCTGAGTTAGTTTGAACTGATATTACCAACAAACAAATCTCAATTAATCGAACATGTAATTTAAAACTGAAAAGATGAAAAAATAATTTTCTAAAAATTTTGAAATAGTTTATTTTAAAATAAAAAAGCAAAAAAAATAATCTTCGTTTTCAGCTTTTGGTTTTGGATTTTAGTTTTTAGATTTGGTTTCTGGTTTTGCTTTACATTTTTTAAAAATTTGTAAATTATTTAAGAAAAATAAAATAATAAATTATTTAAAAGTTACCATTAAAATTTATCAAGATAGAGTGATTGTTATTTAAAATAAAAAATATTAACACGCTTTAAAGTACATGATTTAAATAAGTGATTAATAATAGATAATTTTGTTATGTTGAAAATATTAAATATTTTTGGGCTAAAAAATAGTAACATGTTTTAAAGTACATGATCTAAATACACTACAAGAAAACATCGATATACTGAGGGAAATTCCGAGGGAAAATGAGTTCCTCAGAATATTCCGTGGCAATTCTGAGGAAATTCCGAGGAACCAAAAATTTTGGGTTTCCTCGGAATTTCCTCGGACTATTCCGAGGAAATTCCGAGGAACGTCTGCTCCGTCGGAAATTTCCGACAAAATTCCGGGGAACATGTGTTTCTCGGAAAAAACCGACGATAATCCGAGGATATATTATATCCGTTAGATAGCCGTTGGGGGATTTGACTAAATTCCGAGGAAATTCTGAGGAAGTGTTGATTTTCCTCGGAAAAAGTCAATGTAATAATCGAATTTTAGGGATTTGATATCAGGGTTTCATTTCCTCGGAATTTTGCTCAGAAATTTCCGAGGAAATTCCGAGGANTAAACTACAACATAAACACTTATACACTTTAATGAACAGAAACGACAATACGTGTACTCGTTTTAATAATTCTTTAATTTCATGGTTTATAGGCATCTATTGTCATATTATCCATTGATAATCTATCAAATTGTTCAATGAATGATTTACCGTATCAAAAGTTTAGGTTTTGAAACCCCAAACAATATTTCCTCGGAATATTCCGAGGAAATTCCGAGGAAATTCCGACGGACTTCTAAATATCCGTTGGAATTTCCTCGGAATATTTTGGTACCCGGGAAATCAAACCGCCAAACATTTTAGCGAAAATTAAATTAAGAAATTCCGACGGAATTCCGAGGAATCCTTTTCCGTCGGAATTTTTGGTTTATTAACCCTAGAGAGTTCTTTTTCCCCATTTCTCTTCTCTTCTCTTCCTCTCCCTCTCGGCCGCCGACGAAAACTGCCCCTCTCTCTCTCGATTTTCGCCGCGAAATCTCCCCTATTTCATTCCAAATCATGTAAGTCCTTAATCCCCATCATCCTTAGTTGTTTTGATTAGGATTTGAAGTTAGTTTTAAAGATTTTAGATGTTTTAGATTGTGATTTTGTTAGGGTGATTGGTAAATAGGGGAATTAGTTGGTTTTTGTGTTGATTGTGTTGTTGTTGTTGTTGATTTATAAATTTTAATTTTCGGAAATTAATAAATTTTAATTTTCTGAAATTTTAATTTTCGGAAATTATAAATTTTTTTGTGATTTAAAACTATTTTTTAATTAATAAAGTATTTTCCTATTTATTAAAAGGTTTTTTGTTGATTTAAAACTATTTTTTAAATTAATAAAGTTATTTTTAATATTTTATGAATCCTTTTTGTGATGAAATTCTAAATTATTACAAGTTTTTTTAAAAAAAATTTGTGATTAAAACCTAATTTTATATTTTAATGTCATTAAAACTATTTCTAAATCTTTTTTTTAACTTATAGGTCTACTGGTGATCAGAGTCGATCTCGACTTCGTCGTCCCGTTGCACGAGGTTCTGGTGCTTCGGGAAGCCGGCCTCGGGATTCTCATGACTCGTCGCCGTCCCAGGGCACCTACCGTACAGCTCCC